CTCTAGCTCTTAATAAGTTTTAAAATATTTCAGTATTTGATTTATGCCCATTGAATATGCATACAATGGGTATATTGTTTTCGATTCCCAAACGTAAGCAGAAAGTCCAGTCCAGTAAAGGTCTGTCCAGTTGTCCGAATGCTAGTTTATCGAATTTTGGAAAATATATACTTATCTTGCTTCATTTGAAGGGAGTATGCCGTATATATACGCAGAGGGGGGCATATAAGATATAAGATTTGCGGTGTATAATTTGGAAGAATATGTGCAAGTCGGGCATACCCGACGGCAGCACATTTATTTCATGTTTGTCGCATTTGCAGCTCGCCAAAATCGTGTACTACTCACAAAATCTACTTAAGACGTTTTGTATATTTTTTGTTTGTTTGCTTGTGTGTGTGTTTCTTTATGGCTTCATTTATGGCAGCCATGTTGTGCAGGGTGTGTTACACACACACACACACACACACACACACACACACACACTGAGTCAGGTGCATAGCTATAAAATATGTTAATTGCGACATTTGCTGATTTGTTGTGGCTATTTTAGCAGCCGCAGCAGCACAATTGTTGTTGCTTTTTTAACATTCAACATTCCACATTCAGCCCAAATGTGTCAGCCTTGTCTCGCATCCATAACTATGCACAGTCCATATCCAGCCGCATGCATCCCCGCAGCTTATTAATCATAATATTGCGCATACGCCGTGTATTGCATATTGGCGCATGCAAATGCTTTCAGACAGGCGTTTAATTAACTTTGCCTTCTGCTTCTTCCCCAACTTTTTTCCGAATCGCATTGAATCGATGATCTGGCGCTGATGATAGCTTAAAGTCTAATTATGCCAGCCGAACAGAGTTGGAAAGTTGTTGTTCCAAGTGACGGATTCAAGAAGATGACTTGACAGCCAGTTAAGTGTGTTGTAACTCACCAAACGTAAACGTTTGACTGAGGTAAAAGCACAACAACATCTATACTATATTTGGTTTTCAAAGTGGCCTCTAGATTGTGTGAAACTTCAGTTTATAGCTAACTATCTGAACTGAGTAAATATTACTTAATAAGCTGCTTCAACTCTGTTTTGATCGAACTGAAAGTGATTCAAATCCACTCTGCTTACCAGCGTTTTTCCGCGTGTGCGCGTGGATTGGGCCAGATATTTGTCGAAACAAGAATTACTTTAGTTGCTCCTTAAAATTGTTTCTTAAGTCAAGAATGGTATTGAATAGCTCTTCGTATAAGTTTAAACTCTTTAAGTAGGAATGTTTTCCATGCGTATTCCACCCTAATGTGTGGAATGGTTAGTTTGTCAATCAGTCAAACAAATGCTTTTTGAATAAAGCTAACCAGATCGGCAAAAGCAAGAGAATTCCATTAAATGTTGTCGATTATCATTTACAGTTCGTCAACATATCTAAATATGTACTTTTTCGATCCATTCAAACCTAAATCCAGTTTGATTTGTACTCGAAGCTGAAGCAAACTGGCGCTGAATTTTGTGATACATGAAACTCCTGTAAACTTATATAAGCGAAGCGAGAAGCAATCGTGGCTAGTTTCATTAACCTAGCACACTGACGAAAACTAATCAAAAACATATTTCCACATAAGTATATCTCATTTTTTTTTCTTGCGCTGTTCACTTTTTGCAACAACAACAACAACATAAAACAATTATCGCAGCTATCCGTTGAAATTCCATTGAATAATGGGCCAAATAGCGCAAATTGTTCGTAAAGTGTGCAAAAGGAAAACTGAAATAAATATAAAAAAAAAAAACAAACAAAAGCACAAGAAAAACAAAACTTGTGGAAAGTGAAAAATCAACACTCGCCGAACCGATTGCATTCGCCATCTAATATATGCTATATGCTATATGGTATATGGTTTTTCTTCTTCTTCTTGTTTGTGGGGCTCGGATTGCAACTGGGGCTAGGTTTGCGTTTTTGCAGCGCACGAAATTGGCTAATTGCCATAATTAAAGAATTGATGAAACTGAAGCAGAAAATACAAAATAAAAAACAAACTCTGAAGAAAACCAAATGAAAACAAGCAAAAGCGAGAGAGAGATAGAGAGAGAGGGGCCGAAGATTTAATACTCTTTCTCGATTGTCGTTATTCGAGCTTAATAAATATATCTTTTGCCAAAGTCATTTTTTATCCGATTCTACTTATAGTGCTTCATAATATATTAGTTTACTCCGGAAGAGATTTGACCTACTTGTTGACAGATTTTTCCTATATACTTTAGTGGTCGAATGATGGGTTTGATATCTCGATAAGGTAACAAGTTTACTTTTGAGCCGATTGTTCCTATGTTCCAGCTATATACGATATAGTAATTCTGCTTCCGACATAAACTCTGCCTGTTCGCATCGAAACAGACAGAAGAACATGGTTAAAACCAAGTCGGCTCTTGATGCTGATCTGGAGTACATATATACTTTATGGTTTCGGGAATATTTCCATTCAGTCATTGAATATTTTATGACAGAAGAACTTAGTTTTCGACTCAACGTTCGTGTGACAAATAAGTGATATAGCGCTTCGATCTGGTCGGGTCTAATGTACATATACACCGCATGCAATCAATATTCAGATAGAGAGAATCGACTTGTTATTTATTTGGTGTGTTACAAATGCGCTGACAAAATGGAAATGCCTTCTTGTGAGCGCCAAATTAAATACGAAACGAAACGAAACGCGGCGAGAAACATGAAATTTGATACTCAAGTAGCCCAATTATTTTGCACCTCAACTTTTTAACAGCAATAGAAAAACCAAGAAACAACAAAAATTAATTAAGGCTAGTGTAAGAAGAGTCTGGACGAGTGCGCACGGTCGTCAGATACCCTGTAGAAACGAAACATGATTCTATTTGCAAGGTTTTTCATTAGATAAGTATTAAAAACATGAATTGAGCAAATTGCTTTCAAGGCTTAGCTTTAACTAAGATCTCGAGCAGCTCAAGGAATGTCAAGGTTAATAAAAAAACTCTTGCCTAAAGCTCTATATAAGGCCATAAGTCAGTTCAACTCTGTGCCTAAACCTGCCCATTTGCCAGCTGAGCTATGCCCAAACAGAGTTAAGCTATTCTATTCAGCTGGAAGAAGTCTTGGACATTCACTTTCCGCCCAAACGTGTGGATTTTGCGAAATGTGTGTAATACGTTTTGGCATGTATTTACATAAAGCTCTTTGATGAATGAGTTAAAGATCAAGTGGCCGAAAAACAACGGAAAATAAATGTATTTAACCAGTTTCCACACATTTTCCACAGTTGCAAGTGAAATTGGCTACAGCGATTCATAATCAATTCAATTCAGTTCGCAAACAGTTTCATCTATATATTTGTACATATACCCGATTTGCAGCCAAGTGTTACAGGGTATCTTTATAGTAATTATGATAACCAGTAATGGCAACAGGTGCCAATGAGCCGCATTCAAGTGGAGCTCTCGACCAGTTGGCTGCTGTCCAGTCAACTTGGCATCGAAACATTTGCATACGACTACACACACACGCACACACACACACGCATACACACACATATATATATATATATATATATATAGGTACATGTATCTATAAGTAGTACAAGTATCTTTCGTATTTGGGCAGTCGCATAACTCAGCGTTGTATTTTTAATTTTTTTTTTTTTTTTTTTTGTGGTTTTGTTTTGAGTTTCGGGTTCGTTTGGCGATTTCTTTCTGTTTAACACATTTTAGACACGCATCGCCAGCGAGAGCGCTAATTTTAAGCGGGCCTCCGATCCGCTCCTCATCCCCCTCCAGACAAGCCCCCCTTCCCTCCACTGGACAGCAACAATTTCTGTGGCCCAAATACGCGTAACCAAAAGATGTTTCCAGAAAATAAGAAACCAACAACCTTATTTGAAAGGTGAAAATATGCAGATATCGTAAATATTTACTTTTCAAGGGATCGGTCGAAAAGTCTCTCCCCCCCCCCTCTCTCTCTCTCTCTCTCTCTCTCCTTCTCTCTCTCTCAGTCGCTCGCTCGCTGTGTAGGCGGCTTCATGTTATGCATTTCAATCTACGTTTTAGGTTTCAGTCTTAGCTTTTAGCTCGTTTTTGTTTTGGTGCTTTTATTTATATGTCTAGGCCTTAATCGTGGGCACGTCGTCTCAGGGTTTCGGCTCCTCCGATCGCCAATAAACGTGACCAAGTCGAGGGGCTCAATTGTCAGCGTGTAAATAAGCCAATTTATGGATACTCGATACGAATCACAGACTCAAGACGCATCTTGCAGAGAGACAATTAGTATTTCTCACATAAGTCGCCTGTTTTTTTGCTGGCTTTACTTGTATTTCATAAATTATAACAATGCCTGCTGCTTATCGCAATTTTAATTGTATATTGATTTTACTTTAAATTTAAAAAATGATTCGCAAATATTAAAAACAAAGAAGTTGGTTAGCCGCACCGGAGAGTCGAGCTCGCAACTTCTTTCAATCTTGCCAACGCCTCAGACCCCACAGCCAAACCAGGAATTGAATGTCGCTAAATGAAAACTGAACTATATTTATGCATGCGTGTGTGCATGTGTGCATGCATGTGTGTGCATGCGTGCATGTGTATGAAGAAATTCGTACAGACCCGTTTTCTTGAATAACTTCTGTGTTTCTTAAGCGATCTTGACGATCTTTTTGTGCTGTAGATATCATTCGTATATGCTCAATAAGATTGTGGCTATGCAATCTATTTATTTGATTTATAGCTATGGGACGTAGACGGAGGAGCAAGCTAGCGGTTGCTATGGAACGAAAGCTACTTCATCTTGATATATACCACACTTGAGGCTGCATGCCTCAGACTCTTAAAACCTAAGAGATTTGCTCAAAATACAAGATTTCGTTCGTTATTGATCAATCAGTCAGTCAGTCAATCGGCAACAGTATTATTTAGCTCAATCGTAGCAGCATGGAAATGAGTGTGGCTTACCAAAAATATATATATATCTATAAATATATATTTATTTATATATATATATCACTTCACTCACTTGCTTCATTCCAAAACAAAATCAGGATCACAAAAAAACAATAAACAAACTTTTGAGAGAAACTAGCATGGATCCACTGGAAGACTTCACAATCATATGTCTGCTGGCCTCACTTGTCGCGCCAGCCATACTCATTATAATTCTGGGCCTATATCGCCTGACGGGCTGCCTGGGCTACTATAAGCTGAAGTGGGAATTTGTTCGCTTGCCCTATAAGACGCTATGCACGATCTGTTTGGAGAGCGCCAAGGATGGCGGGTTGGCGGCCGCGTATCGCCTGCCCTGCGGCCATTGGTTCCACAAGAACTGTCTCTATGTCTGGCTGTATCGGCACAACAATTGTCCCAACTGCCGCCGGATCATTGGCTACTGGAATGGCAGACAGATCGAGCCCGTGTTGGGCTACCAGCCGTATATCTATCTCGATGAGGCTCGGCTCGACAATCGCCGACCGCGCGCTCTGTGGCCCTACAGGCCGCCCATCTATACACGACGCTTTGTCTATACCTAATGTGAAGCGCCATCGGCAGAGCGCAGAAGACTCAGTTCCAAGGCCATATATTGTAGGTTAATATTGTGCGATTTTTCGATTTTTGGGAAGGCGTTCGCGAGCCACACAATCACATATTACGGGCCACTCCATATATATATGTTAATATATATGTATTTTTTATAATCTATTTTATATTTGATCGCTACACAGCACACTGCTCTATAACACTCTTTTACAACACTGTGCACAGCTGCATGCATTGTTATTGAACACTTAACAGACTACAAGCCAAGCAAAAGTCTTGCCTGGTTTAAGGTTCACACGGCCTAACAATGAAAATAAAATCGAACTCTGAACCTATTGAACATATATAAAATACGGTTAGGTAGGAGGAACTCCTCTGCCGGCCGTTGTCCGTCTGAGTAAACGCCTCGAACTGGGGATCTACAAAAGCTGGAGACTCTCTCTTTTGTCTTTATTTGTATCGATAAGTATCGATTTTGAGCCTTGTCATGACTCGAAAGTTGTTTTTTTGTGAGGTTCGAACTATAAACTTTTTGTTGGTTGCCAATTTTCTATCTATCAAATTGCGAACTATTAACAAGAAAGTATGCTGATTAGTTGCCTTAAACTGTTGTTAACGTAGTCTGGCTCGAAACGAAAGCTGGGTTCAGGGCGAGGGAAAACCAGGTTCATGAACCGAACCAGCAAATGTTTTAGTCCAACTTGTCTGAAGAAAAACCTCTACACGAACGATTTATCTAACATTAATGTGAATAAAATGAATGATAGGACAATTTTTGTTAAAAAAATTTTTGCCGAAATGCAATTCCTTCAAAATGCCCAAGCTGCGAGTCAATAATGAAGATCATCATAATGATGCTGATGACGATCTGATGATGATCATGATGACGATGATGATGAAAAGCTGCCGTTTGTCGTCTATTCTGCTTTCCGTTGACTTGCTTTTAGCTGCACGCCATCGAGACAACAACAACAACAACAACAACTACAACAACAACAACAACTACAGCAACATGATCGTCAACATGATCATTATGATGATCATGAACATCAACAGCAATAAACACTCAGCAATTTTCACCAAGTTCGCTGAACTCTTGAATTGTTTACCCACAGCAACAACAACAACAACAACAACAGCAACAACTCCAAAAACAAAAACAACAACAACAGCTTCATTTTCGTCGTCGCCTTTGTCGCCTCTTCGTTATCTTCGCATTGTGTTGCATTCCCACAACCCCCTCCCCGCCCCCACTCGCACGACTTCGACCGAACTTTAAGCAAGCCAATCCTAATCCAGCCCCCTTCCCGACTCCACGCCCCTTAATCCAAAGCATTTTCAAGTTCAACTCTTCTGAAATATTTATAGAAAAAAAAAATAGTGCTCCACCGCCCAGCTGCCGTTACAAAGATTCTAGCTTCTAACTTCGGTGTTTGAAGTCCGATCTTTTTGAAAATTTCAGATCTTAAATATGACATGCAAAAGTGTGAATCTCCTAAGGTGCAAGACTTTAGCTGCTAAAGTGCGCTTGTCTTAACAATATGTTCCCACACTTTGTGTGAGATATGCTTTCCTGGTTAGCTTCGGTGCTTGAAGTCCGATCTCTTTGAAAATTTCAGGACTTGAATCTGACATGCAAAAGCGTGGATATACCAAAGCGAAAGGCTTTACCCTTAAATATGATAGTGTTTCAAGAGTTTTGGATAGAGTGGGGGAAGGTTTCTTAATCTGTGTATGCCATACTGGATCTATAAATTTGACCATGTCTGACAATCAATTTTTATGGATTTTATGCAGATGGGATATCAAAGAAAAATAATTCATTTCCATCTGTGTATGATTCAAGAGAATATAGTACATTCACTTGCAAGCCTCTAGCGTCGGCTCATGAGCAATATACCTTTATCCATGATGTGAACAGAGTGTATACAAAAACAAAAACATTTTCAGCGATTTCTTTCCCGGCCAGGTCTTGAGATTAGATCATCCGCGAGGTGAGCTAAGCGCGGGCGTTGCCGGTGACGGCACAGCCAAGCGAATGACAAATGTGAATAGACTGAAGATGACAGTTGACAGTCAGTTGAATTATGGCAGCCACTGTCTGGAATGTGTGCAGTGAGAGTCGAGTCAAGTCTGACATTGGGGGGCTAGTCAAATCGCTCGAGATCTATGTGGAATGTGATGAGCTCTATTTATTGTCTGTGCTATGCTCAGTTTTCAAGGCGAATAGCTGACAAACTAAAGTAGTTGACAGTTCCGTTAGCTTGTAAAATACTTAAATATATCAATAGAAGACTGCCGAACTAGCAGTTACCCTGGAATCCATTACAGATTTCTATGCAGGGCAGCATTTAAACTATACCCATAAAATGTTAGGCAGAAACTCTCCAAATGTACATTACGAAAAGTGTGAAATGCATCTCAAATGAATTTTCATAAAGATTTGAAGTTTCAGCTGAGTTACCGTGCATTTTCCACGCTTGCGGGTGAGTTAACGCGCATTTTCCACGCTTGCGAGTGATTTTGAAATTCGACAAATGCTTTTTTTTGCAGCGCTTTAAGCCTAGATTTGTATTCCACCAGCTCTATTGGCCAGACATGTTACAAGATTATTTAATTGCTCTATATCTATGTATGTAGGTACTTCTTTGGGCCCAATCAACTTTAGCTGTGCAACCTGTAAGCCTGCTGAAGGCAGTTTTCACATAAATCGCATGTCTCGCATACGTCACAGCGCAACGCATTATCATTATCGCATATGGAATTTGATGAGGTAATTGTTAGGTGGCTGGCTGCGGGGAATACCACTAATATGCCCAAAAAACTCGGCACATTTTCACACGCTCCTCGGAACGCGGCGCATTTCTTTGCCGTCGACACTTCAAATAATGTTATTTTCTTTCTGTCGACTCAATGCGACTGGAGTCGAGGGCCTGGCAATTGCTTTGGGCGCTATTTGATTTAGGGCCGTGTTTTATTGGCCAACTTGGCTGCTGTTTTTCATTTCTCTCTCTCTCTCTCTCTCTCTATCTGTCTCTCCCACTCTTTCTTTCTTTCTTTTTTAGTTTTTATTGCTTTTTAAATTTGTTAGCTTGAGCATTTAATCGGCTATTACCAGATATTACCGCACCTTGTGCGCCTCTTGGCGCTTTCTGATGTTAATGAAGCTCTTCCAAATGGCATTTGAACCATTATGCAAACTATCGATAAGCTGTCTGTGTGTGCAGCACACACACACACACACACACACACGCACACACGACCAGATTGACAGGTTTTATCGCCGATGATAAGAATGCGTTTCTTCCGTTCGATGTGTTGCTTATTGCCGTTTTATCGCTTTTTTATCTTCCAGCATGAATAAGTGGCTCACTTCTTTTGTTGTCTTTTTGCCAGTATGTTTGCAGTATTTATGCTAGTATTTTTGACAGTATTTTATTAGTATTTTTGTGATATTTTTATAGCATTTGTGCTCATGAAAAATGTCTATATGTCTATCTCTCTTGTTCTCTCTCTCTCTCTCGCTCTCTTCATTTTATTATTATTATAGATACGAACGATAATGTTAAACATTAACATCATATCCAAATACATAAACATATATATACTTCCGTTTTTTGTTAAATACTATTATTATATATTTAATGTGTTAGCCAACACTGGCTTTCCTCTAAGCTCGTTAAAGTGTCGGCTTGAGAAACAGTTTCAAATTGTTCGCAGAAAATTTATTAGTGGTTTTTTTTTGTTTTCACGGAATCGAGTTTCTTAAGTGTCGGATATGTAAGATTCTGTATTTCATTTCGAAACTGGCGCAAGAAAAAAAAAAGTTCAAACTGAAATCTGTACCAATTATAATTGCAGCTTGGATTGTTATTTTTTTGTTTTGTTTTGTTTGGTTTTGATTTTTTTTTTTCATTTTCATTTTCAATTTGTTATTCTTTTGTTAATTTGTTTCTTTTTCGTTTCTTGCAAATCCATTGCAATTGCAGTTGAAAAACTTAACGCTCCATTCAGCGCTAAAATTGCTTTGTGCCACTTTCAAGTTGCATTTTTTTTCTTCTTTTGTTTTGTTTTATTTTTGTTTACCTACTTTTGCTGCTGCTGCTTCTTCTTCTAGCCATACTGAGCCATTGTTTCTATTTCTATTTCTATTTGTAAATCGTCAATTGCATTTAACAATCAGTTCAAAGCGAGCTGCCAACCTGCTTTGAGGCAGTTGCCGAGCTCGGGTCTCTTTATTTTCTAGGGCTTCACTCGGACGAGTGCCTCGATAAGGCATGATATGGCACACATATATGGGATGGTAGCTTTAAAAAATGCCACATAAGTCACGTCTGGTCGTTCAGTACAACTCTCTATGCATTGGATAGCTTCAAGGCATACGATAAGGCTAGATTAACTTGGACAGGAAACCCCTATGATAGACATAAATGCCAGCCATCGAAATTATGTTGCCATTTGCCAAATGGTTTTTGGGCTGCACAGCTGGAAATCTCTTAGTGATAAGAACAGGGCTGCAAAAGCATGAACGAACTATTTGTCGATGGTTCGGTTCACGACTTGAACCAATTGTCTGGTCTTAGCTTCCGTTCGTGTAACTGCTTTCCCACATGAACACAGATTTTGATTTCAGAGATCATCAGATGCTTTCAAAATCCTGTGAATGGTCGGGCTTTGAGTTTTTTATGCTTTGCTCTTCTCTGGGATCAAATTGGTTTTGAACCAGTTTATAGCTTTGATTTAGAAATGTTATCAAATGTCTATTGCACTGAACCAGAAAACTTCTTTACACTTTGCGAATTGTGAATATTGTATTTGGGAAGATATGCAAGAAAATATTTAAGCCGCAATAGTTCTCTTTTCTTCTCTGCACTTCTCTTCTCTTCTAGCTTAAATCGAAAAAACACTTTCAAAAAGCATTGCAAATGTGTATCATCAACAGCTATTACGCTTTTGTTTTTTATTTTATATCATTGTTTTTATATTTATTTTATGTTTGATTCAAGCGGCGCTTGAAACGCAGCATTATTTTTATTTTTATTTTTTGGCTAACTGCCAAATGGAAGCATGCCGGGAATTTAAATCACGCTTTTTGTTCAAATGTGTTTTTCTCTATGTTTTCTTTAAATATATATATATAACTATTTTGTACGTACCCTTGC